GACCATCCAAACGTTCGGCCTTTGGTAAATATTTAGAAGAAGTTAATGTCAAACTGTGGGTAGGAAGAAATAGTGACGACAAAATGAAAATGTTAGAGCTCATCATTAACTTTGGTCTTGATTTCCTACTCCCAAAAAAAGAAGGTGCTGATCAATAATGAGCCTCCTTGGATGACCAAATCGCTAAAACAATTGATCCGCTGAAGGGAAAAAGCTTTTGCACAAAAATACCTTGACACTTTCAAGAAATTAAGAAACCAAGTAAACCGAGAAGGAAAATCTTTTTGGAAAGGTTTTTACCAAAACAAAGTACAACATTTAAAATCGTGTTAATCTGCAAGTTGGTGGAAGGAAATCAAAAAGTTAAGTGGTATTTCACCGTCGGTTTCTTCACAGGAAGATATGATGTCAACCTTGCAAAATATTGATAATGCACTAACACTCTCTGATCATTTTTCTGAGATACTTGCAAACATGATCAACGAATCCTTTCTAACACCCATGAAAGATTTTAACCCACTGCCCTAACATTTATGCTTTGATAATGAGAATGATGATTTCCCGAGGTTGTTGCCTGTCACTGAGTTTACTGCTTTCAAGATGTTGTCAGCTCTTAACGCAAGGAAAGCAACTGGCTCAGTTGGTATTCCCGCCTGGGTTCTAAAAGAGAATGCTGATTTAATGGCTGTTCCCGTGGCAGATGTTATAAACAGCTCCTTTAAAGAGGCCCGGTTACCACAATCACGGAAAAAAGCAAATATTATACCGATTCCAAAGCAGAAACCTGTACGAGATATTAATAAACACTTAAGGCCTATATCACTTACTGCGATTGTGTCAAAATAGCCGAAGGAGTTTGTTGTGGAAAATTATGTCACACCAGCTGTACTTAAGAAGATAGACTCTAATCAGCATGGGGCAATTCCAATTTCAAGCACAACTCTAGCTTTACTTAGTATGTTACAGTCGTGGAATAAAGCAACTGATAGTAATGGGGCGGCCGTTCGTGTGCTGTTATTAGATTTCAAGAAAGCTTTTGATCTCATTGATCATAACTTATTGGTTGAAAAACTACGTTCTTTTGATATACCGAAATGGGTTCTACATTGGATTATGGATTTCCTCTCCTTCAGGAAACAAAGAGTAAAGCTGAAATTCGATTGCTTTTCAGAGTGTGAACTCATACCTGTAGGCGTTCCGCAGGGCACAAAATTGGGGCCTTGGCTATTTTTGATAATGATTAACGATCTCAAGTTACCAAATAATGAAATGTGGAAATTCGTAGACGATACCACTTTTAGTGGAGTAATTGAGAAAGATCAAACAAGTAACTTACAAAACCAAATGGGAATCCTCGTAAATGAAATAATTAAGAAATGCTGTAAACGCCTCTATTATCTTATTCAACTAAAACGAGCAAATATCGAAGTCAAGGAATTGCTCCAAGTTTACAAAACGTATATAAGACATATCTTGGAGTATGCTTATCTAGTGTTCCACAATAGTCTGACATTGTATCTGCCAAATGATCTAGAGTCAGTCCAAAAGCGAGCATTAAAAATAATCCTGCCTCATCAAGAATATGAAAACGCTCTGCAGTTTACTAATTTGCAACGCCTTAGCGAAGGAGGAATGATATAACAACAGCGTTGTTTCAGAAGATAATAGCAGATTCCTCACATAAGCTTCAAGACCTTTTGCCTCTTCGTTTAGCACGTTCAACTATGGAATTTAGGACTCAATCTTCATTTAATGCTAACTTTAATACCAAACGTTTTAGAAATAGTTTTATAACTTATAACTCATTGAAGATGTAATTTAGTTAATTAATTTATGCATGTATTATATGTAATCTTAAACGTATTTCAGCAATATAGCTGCCAGTTTTAAGAAAAAAATCATCTATCTATCTATCTTACTCTCTAACGAACATAAAGGACAAAGAACAACCCAACAAATGACAAGGTGCAGTTTACAAATGAAACTGCTCCGATTGCCACGTCTCTTATATCGGGGGAACTGGCAGGAACTCAAATATAAGACTTACTGAACACAAACGAGCTACTAAGAAACAAGACAAAACTAATCACATTGCCGAACATCACCGAATCACACAGCACAACATTGACTGAGACTCGGCAAAATTCATTACTTACAGTACTGACTATAGACAACGGCTTACATTAGAAAGTTGGTATACCAACTTGGAAAAAATCTCCCTGAAAAGATCACAGCAATTACCGGCACCTTACAAACTACTTATTCACAATACAAACAAACGATAAACTAAAAACATTACACTTCACATTAATTCACAAAGACAATACACAATTGACACCCACACATTTCCTGTACACACTATACAATGATGTAAGAACCAGATAAAAAATACGACTAACCTGACGTTTACTCCTCATTTGACTCTGAAGATAACTACCGCTAAGGTGTTCGAAACGTCAGTTAAAAACAACTTAAATATTCAATGAAACCGAACATACTTTCTTACGACCTACTCACGCGCACTTTGGCAGAGCAGATGGACTACCTAAAACGCACAAACAATTTGACACATTACCTAAGTTACGACCAATAATTGACACCACAAACACACCACACTACAACGTAGGAAAATTCATTGCAAATCTTTTGAATCCACTTACCCTAAATAAATTTTCATTACAAGACTCTTTCGATGCTACTGATGCTATTAAATCTATACCTAAAGATAAAAAGCTGGTACACCAACTTGGAACAAACCCCCCTGAATAGATTACAGCAATTACCGGCACATAACAAACGACTTATTCACAATACAAACAAACGGTCAAGTAAAAGCATTACAATTCACTCTAATTCACAATGACAATACACAATTGACGCCCACACATTTCCTGTACAGCAATGCAATGACGTAACAACCAGATAACAAATACGTTTAACCTCACGTTTACTCCTCATTTGACTCCGAAAATGCCTACCGCTTAGGTTGTCATAGCGTCAGTCAGCATCAACAAAAATAGTCCTTGTCAGGACTATACCAACCTGGACAATCTACATTTACAAACATTGGATTGTTTTGATATAATTCTGTAAGTTTTAGTTATTTGGCGAGGACACTGTTTGAGTACATCATAAATTAGAACGCAGAAGACTGCGTCATGTTTTGTCAATTAAATATGGTGCCCACTAAAATCACTAGAGACTTGAGTGAAGAGTTTCACATTATTACTCCGTCTGATCTTGTTTTCTACTTATACAATATTTCAATATAATTGGTATTATGCAAACTGACTAGAAAGGAAATCATTGTCGTATTGAAGTCTTCTATTGCAAATATTTAGGTTTCTGCCGCTACAGAAGAGCAGTTTAGGCAGCTGGCAAGTAAACCTAATGTCATAGACCTTGTCTTGGACCCACGTAATCTTTTGTGGTATATTTAATGACAATATGTTTATATTATGTAATTTGTATAATTAGCGAATTGTTGCCTTATGTTGACAAGAATTTAGGAATTTAACAATGCAAAGCCAACTTTAATTTTTTCGATATATTTGACAGCATCACATTGTGAAAAAACCTCTCAATGCAATTACATTTTAATTCATATTTTGATGCAAACCTTAAAATTATAAATCATTTTCTTTAAGATAATTATCAGAAACTGCACAGTTTTCATTTATTGCTCTTTGTTTTTATCCTGAGATACTGATAAAAGCTTAACTGTGTTTTTTTTTTCATTCATTATTTCATTATGAAGTAGGCATACTGATGGTAAGATTTTAAAATAAGGAAGTGTTGTGGCATTGCTCATTTGATCCTGTACTGAAACAGCAGGGTAGAGTGTTTAATGTAACATGAAATGGCTAAGTTCTGTGAGATGGCCAAATGCAAACATAAGTTGATGTGGCGTGGCAAAACACTCTGTTGATATTTTATGGCTATTGTGAGTCAAAACAACATCGACTAATGCCTTTTTCATCCTGGGTGGGTATGCCTTGTGTAGGCAAAATCTATTACTGTCATTTGCAATATCTAGCTTTTTTTCAAATTCCATCTCTTCAAAGGTTTCAGTATAATATCGACTAACAGGAACGTTAACATAGCCAATTGGACGTTGTATTCTCTGATTAGGAACTGAAGATCCCAGCTATAACATTATACCCCCCTCTCCCTCACGGTGGTGAATCATACTTTGCAAAACTCAAACATATTCTCCACCATGATCAAATCGTACCCTTAACGGTGTACCATATTTATCGACAGTCTTTAAGAACTTTTGTAGTACAGATTCAGCCTTGTTGTCGTCGGATGCTTCTCCAAAAGTGATAAGACTAGTAAAGCCATCAATCGCGAGGTGGGTTTCAAAGCCTGTGTATGATGGCCCTGTTTGAATGTAAATAATCCTTTTAGATTGGAATCAGAAATGGCTTTAAATATTTCAGGATAACCAATAACTGCGTTACGTAAAAGGTTATTGTTTGTTAGCCAAGTTTGTCATTAGCGTACGGTCATTTTAGCAACGCTGTATCCAAAATCAAACATCTCTTTGACTTTGCTTGGACTTGCACCAACTTTAGGTTGCCTTTTCAATAAAGTAATTAGAAATAAGCGTAATGAGATCATTAAACAAATTGGCTAAATATCTAGTGTACTTTTACCTTCTTGTGGATACGTCTGTTTCTTCGTCCATATTCCCAACCTAAATTTTCATTGTGGAATGAGTATAATGCAACAATGAAATTTGCCAATTGCAAAGTAAAGTTTAATATAACTGCAGTGTAACTTAAATGCGAACTAAGTAAATTTTGCCACCAGCCAAACTTTGCCACCAAATATGTTAATAGTGCAGTGTCAATACATTCCCCCGGGTAGCATGCTGGAAGTAATCGTTATTACAGTCTATTTTGAAATTCATCTTTCTTCTTAACCATTCTCCAGTTTAGCAACAGCTCATTGTTTTACATTTGGCACGCACGATATTATTCTAAATTTGGATTGATAAGCAGTGGAGTATTAAGCAATTTGCATTTAATACAGAGATGGTTACTAAATAATGAAATTCGAGACATTATTTTGCATAAATAATATTTTTTACATTTGGCGCCCCATATTTAATCGTCGAATTTTGAGAGTATTCAGCCAATCTTGTACATTTTTATAATCACTGATCAAAAAACAAAATTTCAAATCCACTTTTGTCAATTTAAGACACAGTGCAGTATTCTTTATCTGAGACATTTCGTATAAAGACATTCCAATAATATCGTCGCTTTTCTGCTAGAAAAATACCGCTTTTTACACTTTCTTAAGAGTTGTTAAAAATGTTCTCGGTTTCCAACTGCAAAAGATAGAGCAAATTCTTGGCATCAAAATGACTTTGGTAAAACTACTATTAAAACTGCGGTAGCTGCTCAGGGATCTTGCATTATAAACGGATTCCCAAAAAAGTAAAATATTTTTTACAGTGAACATGGTAAAAATTGGACACTTTAAAGAAAATGGATCGAAAATTGTATAAGTGCATTTGAGTAAATTCTCAGTAAAATATATCATGTGCAAGAAATTTGTCGTTTCGGTAAGGTATCGAAAATGTTTCGGTAAGTTGGTCTTTCTAGATCTTATATTATAGGATGCAAGCTTACCCGGCTGCATAAAAATTCTCTATAATAAACAAATTCATAATGTCATTTTGGTCATTAAGACAATAGCATCTGCCAGTTGTCTTCATAGTCCTCTATGCTTACTTTTCGGCATTTATTCTCAGAATTTTATAACATTTAATTGTTATCACATTTCCAAAGAAAATTAAAATTTTCTAAAAAAATTTTGGTGGAGAGGGGCTGAGCAGATCTACAACATCACTGAGACTTTAGCCACAGCAGCTAAAGTCGATATATGAATTTCTTTGAGCTAAAAAAATCTTTTCGTTTACCATTAGCATCAAATGATCAAACAATTTTGAATAAATATGACGAGAACAATATAACTGTTCTTAGGAATATTAGGATATTTAAAAAGTGGCCCTGTCAGTTGAGTTCACACTTGCAGTCAAAATTTTCAAAAACTTGTTAAATGAACTTAAAAGAAGGTGTATGCAAAAATATGCTTAATATTGCTGATGCATAATGGTTCGTAAGTTTTATGTATGATATGCATGTTATGTTTGTGTGAATTTTGTCCTTATTATAAAAGCTCACTAACACTCACACTCACACTTAGATGATTTTGTAGCCATGCTCAGTAATTGTGATTTAAGGTAAGCTTTTAAAAAAGCGTTGTTCTTAATACTACATCCAAATTCTTAACTGATTTATGAACGTTTTTTATTGTAACAGAAATAAACGAATGTCGGTTTTATCCTTGTAGCAAAGGAGGCAGATGCATTAATACCGTTGGTTCTACAGATATAAGTCTTTAATTGTTTTAAAATATCTGTTGTAATAGCACTTCTATTTTGCTATGGAAAGAGTACAGCCACCCCTATTCAACATCAATGTCGTAGAGTGCAACGAAGCATTGATTGGAGGGACTTGTCTTGGGTGTTTGCGACTGGCTGACTGTCTTTATTGCCGAGGTTGTGATACACACTATCATACAATATCAGTCCTGTGTAGGTTAGGATTGTCAACAGTAGAAAGAATAACTACCGTTCTTTTCATGGCCATTATTTTATCGGTTTCGCACTAAGCTTAGTTGCTTAGCCCTGATTTTCGCTCGGCGTATCGCTGCTGATCTTTTAGAGGCTAACAATGTACGCACTGCGCGCTTATTTTTACTATTTCAATGCGAGCGCAACATGCAATATTTGATCCGCGTTTGCTGAGTGTATCGTGAGTCAGATTGCACTCCTAATAAAATCACATAATTGCAGCTGTTGAAAAATTTAAACAATAAAAGGAAACTTTTTTGAGGTATTTATTTTTTGCAATCAGTAATAAACTTTCCCTGTAACACAAATCATTGTTTTGCTTTCAATAATCTGAGTGAAAAATGTTATATGCAACGAGATCCCGTTCAAGAGAAAATTGCCTAAATTGTCCAGCAAAGGGCGAATATCATATCTTCATTTAATAATTTGAGTCAAAAACAACCTAACCAAAGAGACATTTTTTTGCAGATTTTTTGCAGAAACCGTTTTTTTTGTAGAAACTGTTTGAATAAATTTAAGAGAACGTTTTTGCATTCAATGCAAATTTAATGTTTTTAATACGAATTGTAGAAATATTATTATTCTTTTAGAAAAATTGTTCAAAAGTATAATCTAATGATGTGCATTTATACATATTGCACAAGTGGTGTGCCTTAACAACTTAAACTTGACATTACGTTAATAAGACACAAACATACGTAGTAAGCCAAATTTTATGACAGAAAAATGAAAAAGTATAAGCAGGTACTTTGCTTTTATGCATGATTGTAACTTATGAACATATAAGTGCTAAATTTTGCTCTGAAAATGTTTACGGAGTGGGGGGGGGGGGCTGTGGGGTGGGTGTGGAGGTCAAAACGTTAATGTTTCTTTTTGTCCTTATTTTCTGAATTTTTGAGAGAGGAATGGGAATGAATACATTGAAATGAACTAAATACAATAAAAACATGAAAAATTAAAATCATGTGAAATGTCATGTATATAGATAATTACCTAAGAAACTAGCCTTGTTTGAAATTCATTTACTTTAGAAAATTTAATGTTAGGTTAAGTAAAAAGGGGATAAACCATATTATAATTAAATATAAAAATTGAACAAAAGTTGCTTATAGACAATACTCCATTTTTGGCTTTATAGTAATTTATCTATGAACGAAACTAACATCTGCAGTGCACATTTTTCTTTTAGTTTATAGAGACACTTGAAATAATTGACCAATTTGAATAACGTCAACATAAATTATAAGGAATTAAAATGATTTGGTCTCTTATTTTCGATTTAAATGGTATTTCTTGGAATTTTTAAAACAATATTTTTGTTGCATATTTTGTCTGACACTAAATTTCTGCAATTACGGCTCTTTATCCCAAATATAATGAAAAATTATCAAAATTTGTTTCCCCGTCCACAGAAAAGTACTTGTCTTGTGTTGATGACAAAATTCAAAAAGCCAATATTACAAGCACTTTAGGACAAGACAATTTCTGCTTCAGTTATATTTTTTCTAAGCTGCTGTTTGAGAAGAATAGAAAACAACTCGTCAGAATTCAAAAGAGAAATTTCATTGATAGCCAAATTGCGTCTTCAATGGTAAGCAAAGAAAACATAAAGAAAACCTAAAATTCAGAGCCTATTACATAATGCAAGAACAATAGCTCGTATGGATTAAACTTCCTTATCAAGACCATGCATTTCCATTATAATAGTCATGCTTATACGTAATCCAACAGATAATCTAACACAATCTTTATCTTATAAATACTTAAAGCATTTTGAAACATTTTTGTATGTTTTTTTAAACATTTTCTGTAGCTTAGAGTAGCGCAGCTATGCATCACATATACATATATGCTATTTGGTAATTTGACTACTCTAAAATTCTATAAAAACATTTTATTGTTTCGCAAATCATTTTATAATTTTATATTTATCCTTATGATGAAAACAAAACGAATTGATTGATCACAACCAATGATAAATGTCTACTAATTTATATTTATGAATGTCTGGAAATGTCTTATATCATAATTCCATTGATACGCCAGAGAAAATGGTAGCTACATCAAAAATATTGGAAGCAACCATTATTAAGTATTTTTATTCTAAATACAGATACCAAATATAAACAGATAAAAATGTTTTTCGACTATAATAGACATTTAAGAATTATAAAATATTTGCAAAGTGTTTCGCGTTTTTATATGAGAATGATAGTAAACTAAACTTGATTGGACATTAGAACTAAAATTTAGGATTGAGGAAGTAATCAAGAAAGAGAGGTACATAATTAAACAAATTGAAATGGGGCAAATCATCATCAAACATCAATACAGAAGTCATTATAAAGAGCAAGAAATACATTCAGAACAAATGATACATTTCTCGTCTTTTGTTTCTTCTGCTACGATTATTCAATATTGCAAGAATACTTCTGACAGATGGCAAATGCCTTTTAATTGTCTGAAACAAAATATTTGAAGAAGTAAGAATTTTTTAATACTGCAAATTTGCATTTCTCTATTTAGCTTTTTAGACATTTTTTACTTCAGCAGTTCTGTCAAAATGCTCATAACTTTCATTCAATTCCGAACTTATATAATTATGAGAGTCAAACTTCTCTCTACGACTAAGAGATGTTGTAAAGCAGAATATCATGTATTGCATAGCGACCTCGGGATTCTGTTAAACACTGCGCAACAGACTATTTTGCACTAAAATTTGCAGGCATAGTTAAGCACTCAAATAAGCAGGCATAGTTAAGAACAAAATGATTATATGATTATAGTGATGATAAGCCTTTCATAAATAAAGTAAAAATTTTATTACGAAAGCTTTAAAGAAATTAATAATTGTTTAACTTCTAGCAAATTGAAAGTAAAGATGATATCAAGCTCAACAAAAGCGTTTCTTGGGACTCTTATAATCCTGTCTATTACTGGGCAAATAGTAAATGGTAATGACGACATATCAATCTGCAAGAAAAGCTTAGAGACACTAAAAGATAACGTGGAAGAATGGATGGAAACCTGCGTCGATAAAGATGGCAATGACGATAACACAACTGCATGCAAGGAAGTAAAACAATACAACAAAGAAATGATGCAAATGCAAACAGAAATGTGTTTTTACGAAGGTATAATCTTTAGATTTGACAAATTTTCACAGATTCTTGCTCATAGCACTAAAATAAATATATGCAACAATAATAGGTAGAAGTTATGCAGTCAATCTCACTTCAGTTATTAGTAATAGTTCTATAGTGAAAAATTTTTTCTAAAAATACTGATTCTGGTCTTTCACCAAATATTACGATCGTAATGTCGATAAAATTTGCATTTTTTTAATCCACTCGCATCGTTGTTATTTATATTTTTTTATTATTTGTTTAGATGTTTATCCAAAGCCATATTTGATTATTATGAGCTTTGATAATGTATACTCTGTTGATTCTATTACTGGAGATATTTATGTCAGCATTATTAATGGATCCAGTAAGAATAAATTTGACAATGCATCAAGATATAATGACATGGAAATTGATGTAGTTGAGAATGTGCTTTACTACATTGATGAGAAAGACATCAAAAGGGGAAATTTTGACCTGACTAGAAACGAAATTTTTGCGAAAAATGTTTCTGTTCGTGATATTACAGTTGACTGGATTGGTCGTCGTATCTTTTACATTGACTCCACCAACATTATCTACCAAATTTGTTTGAAAAAGAAAATTACAAGTGTTATGAGGCTTCAACCAGGCTTACAATTTTCCAGCATTGCATTTGACTCAAAACATGGGTAAGGCGATATTGATTTTTTTTTATTAACTTGTTAACGCAAAATTACGAAACTATGTCAGTCTATTGGAGGCTTTTCTTCAGTAAGGTAATTTTTATCATATTACAAGGAAAAATTTATTTTCACGAACACAAAAAGCCAAAAGAACGGTAATATATACGAGAAAGTTTTAAAAGAGTTCGGGGCAAGGTGCAATGAACGACAAGAAGACATGGACTTTGCTGTTACTCAATTGCGTAATATAATTTAGAAATGTATTGGAGAATGCAAATGTGCTTCGATGATAATCAAAACTGCCAGTTGCATCAAAAATTTTTGTTAAAGTAAAGGCCATAGTGTTCATCAGTTTTTGCAGCATGTCCAATCCAAAGGTGGTTAAAGACACGAACATGACATGGCAAAAGAATCATCATTTTCAAATGATACCAATAGCGCTAGCTCCAGTGTCAATCTTTTTCTGATTTTTCGGAAAAACAATGAAAAAATTTGACAATTAAAAAGAGAAGGTTAAGATTGTTTTAAAAAATCGTTTGACCCAACAAACTGAAAAAAAAGTATCAACAAAAGACAATGTTTGTGAAGCTATAGCTCTTTTAAAGACATTTATAGACGATGATCCATCCAAAGAGCTGCTACTTTTCATGCAAGATGAAACTGAAAAATTAGGAAAGCTTAAAATTGAAATGACAATGCTTCCTTTATTATACATCTACATTAAATAGTGCATATCATTTACCAACACCAAATTTTCAATTCGAACAAAGTTTCCACGCATCAGCTAATATTCAGCATTATCAATTACCAACACAATTCATTCAGCAGCCACTCCGAACTACAGCATTACTCGTTCCTACATTAATCTTAAACAATACCAATCATTTTAGAAGTTATGTGAATAAAAATAACATATTACATTTATTATGCTCTGAATCACATGCAATATTTAATTACTTTATATATTTTAGTTCGGTTTTTAAAAGAGAGATTCAAAATGATAAAGATGAGCTTTTCCTGTTAGTTACAATAGCTTTATGTTGCTATCTTATCAAATTTCATGAATATATTCCATTAAACCGTCTATATATGAAGGTAGTTCTGAATATATTGACGGCATCTTTGTCTAAATTAAAAAAAACAATCTATATTTCCTTTCTTGCATATATTAGCCTGCCAATTATTTATGTATTTCAGTACGCATAGAGAAAACTAATGTACAATACAAATATTTTTATTAAGGTATCTATTCTTGGCAGAAAGTACAGAACTTTTCTTATGGTTATGGAACATGACTGCAAATAAACATCATATTTTTTCAGTTTCACTTCAGTCAATAGCACATGATCTAACGCTTGACATGGCTAAAGAGAAGATTTATTGGCGAGTTTCAAACGGAAATGTTTTTTCTTGTGATTACTACTCCCATAATGTAATTGATTTTGGAACTTCAGGAGGTCCCATGGCAGTATTTGGGGATTTTAATTATATCTTGACTAGTGTTGGACAAAGTGTCGTTAGTGTCCATAACACAACAGATCAACGTACGAGGCGTAAATTTTTTCTTCCTGTAAACAACGGTTATCTTGATTTGGCTGTAGCTATACACGGTATCACTCCTGACTCAAACGGTAGTTAAATATTTACTTATTTGTCATAATAGTGTAAGACTTGCAAAAACTCCCAGGCTAATGTACTTAAAATAGAAAGACGTTAAAAAGTTCAAAGTTACATTGCCTTAGTAAACGGTTGTTTTTCCTTCCAAAATTATAGAAAATTTGATAAACATTAAGTTCAAAGTGCAAAGTGTCTAATTTAGACGTTTTTACCGTTTGTCTTTCCTTGCCAAACTTCTTGTGTACTAAATTTAACTCTTTATTGTTTCTTACATGATTTCAACAATCACACTGGCTTGTAATCAGTCCTAAATAAGAAAAAAATTCATGAAAATACATTGAAAGACAAAAACGTTCAATTTGAGCATGTTGTGCAGTGAGCTCAATATTCAAATTTTCTAAAATTTTAGTACATTGCAAAACAGAGCTCAAACATTTACATCTTTGGATTAAACTAAATTTGAAACTTTTCATTTTCTTTGTGCATGCAGTTCAAATTAAGGCAATTACGAAGTACTCGACAAGTACTCGGTTTTCGAGTTTAATTTTTAATTCATTCTACTTTTAAATAAACAAGACAAGGCAATGCCAAAATACACGAGCTTTGACACAATTTGCGAGAACTATTGATGAATTGATAATTTTCTGAACATTTTTCAATTATCTAAGTTCTTAGATACATCCTTTATAGTGTCCCAAACAGCCAATTGTTTAATTAGCGTTTAATTAAAGTTCATTAATTAATTGTTTTGTTTTTACGATATTCGCGAACACCAAAAATACCAACATTACATAGCAAACTTGCTAGCTGGGTACGTCATAGTGGATACTGAGTGACAAATTGTGTTCTTCGAGAAAGAATATGTTTCGTTTAATATCTCTGGTTGATTTTATTTTTAATTTTATTAATATTTATAGCGACAAACACTTTTCGCTTTCCTTTATGTGGACCCTACACATACTATCGTAAAATTAATGGAACATTGAACTGCACGTGTATGAAAGGATTCTCAGGAGAATGTAACTCTTGCCAAGGTATGGATCTATTAGTGTCTTCTTCAAGATCTTTTAATCACGGATCATGAATAAAGAGCATCTCTGTGCAGTCTTAAAACTTTGTTCTCTGTTGAGAAATCTGAAGAGTTCTCTGTGCAGTTGCTATTGTGCAATGAATTTGCTGCATCTACAATTTACATGAAACCACAAAAATAAGGCTCACAGCCACACATACAAGCTCATCATTATCAATACAATCAAGCAGGAAATCAGTACTAAATTTATGAAAAGCTTCAATACATACTAATACTTCAATACAACACTATATTAAATATTTTTGATTTTATTATGGGTTGGTTTCTTGAACTAGGAATTCTGTATATTCAAACTATAAAAAGCATTTTGACCGACAAGTTTCCAGACGTCCTAGAATGTGCGCACCCAAAATATATTACATAAAATTTCTTAAACCAATGAGATTGTACTTTATGAACTTATTCCAAGAATTGACAAGTATGGGTAGTGTCCAATTATTTCATTAGGCTTTGTAGGCTGAAGCTAATAGGCCCGCATTTTAAAGAATCCTGTTCTATTTAAACATAGTTTTTACTCTTTGCCTTTCTGGATGAGCTAAATGTTCAAAATTTCAATCATATATGATTTGTTAGACTTGCTCTTATTGCTTAATCAATTGAAAAAACGTTTGAAATAAAAACATCCGAAATCATCGCTAAATGGTGAAACAGACTCTAATGTTGAGTTTACAAAGATCGCGTACTTAATTATTGTGTACCAGTTTTATTAAAGAGAGTTGTAAAATAATAAGACACTGCCTGGTTGATCACTCTAAGACACTTACGGTCGTAATGTTAATTTAGACAAGCTATATACAGCAATTTATGATCTTTATCTAAGTCTCTTATTTTCTCTATAATGATTGAAAATATACTTCTTAAAGGATTTTTACCAAGAAAAATCTTTAACTGTTATCCTCTAGCCTCCAATGAGCTAACCGATTTATAAAAAGCTGTATAAGTCTTTTAAATTTTTCCTCTTTTGATAAACGTAGATCGTATGTCACTTGTTGTAGAACTTAATAATTTTGTGAACTTTGCAAATGAGAATAAAGATGCTTGTAAGATAATCCACGACGCAAGGAACATTCTCTTCAAACTTTTAAAATAAACAAAAATTCAAACTTTTAAATGCAGAGCTACAAACATCTGCATGTTCACTCTCAATGTGAAAGATATTGAAAAGTTATATAGTTAATAAAGATTGTCACTTATTTGCAGCTAAAGGTGAAATGTTAATAGCGTAAAGACAAAAAATGTCTTATCGCCAAAAATAATTTTAACATATTCAACTAATATTAATGTGTTAACAAACGTGGCCAATCTGAAAAAATGCAAGTGTATCTTGGTTCATACTTCAAGATGTCAACTCAATAAAGAGCTAAAATGTAGGGAGTGGTCACTTTAATACCAAAAATAATCGAGAGTTATGTTTAGTAATAGTCTTTGCCCGAGTAGATGTGTCAAAAATGAAACCTTAGATTTAGCTTCCTCAAACTTATATAAATTTTAAAGACCTGCCTTTAGACAATAAAGAAAATACCATACCTTCTTGGCCATTCCTATTTACATAACTTCTTTGTCGGTCACGCCGTACTGCTGTGCACATTAGGTCACAAAACATGAATATTCACACATATATAAAAACATAATCCTTTTGTCGGCAGAGGACGGGATTGTTTAGCTTAATTAAAACAGCCCCCATAACGCGTAACTGAAAGAATCAACGGCATTTCTTAATGATTTTAAAATTGTCGTCTGAATAAGAATCAGCACAATGGGAGTTATTCAAGTAATGTTTACCTGTCGCGGAGTCACACGAAACTAAATTACTTTTCTTACATGCACGTTCTGTTTTTTTGTCTTGAGGGGACCGTTCCAGTTCTGATTGAAGATAGTACATGCTGTTTGATCCTATCGCCCAACCTTCGACACGTTCTACCTGCATAGCGAGCATCACACTCACATTTGTATTCATAAATTACATTGCTTAAAAGTTGTTCCAGTAGAGATTCTTTCGAGGTGCATGGTTGAATAGTTCTTTTCAAAAAATATAAAGATAACATTGCTCGCAAAAAGCAAATTCTCCGTATTATTCTTACTTTCCCTTTCAATATCATTAGAAAGCTTACCCGTCTATGGAAGTTTGATAAACTTATTTTTTGTTGATGATAAAAGTTTATCAAGCCTTTTTTCCGGATATCTATGTGAGAGAAACATCTTTTTCAATGAGTTGAGTTCACCCTCAATGAACTCCTTTGATGACAGACTAAGCGTTCGCTTTATTAAACACTTTACTGAAGAAATATTTTCTCAGTGTGAAGAAAAAGAGTAAACGCGTGTGTACAAACCTATGAAATTCGCCTTGCGATGAATGCTTGTAAGGAATTGACCATTGCGTTTATGGAGAAAAACATCCAAAAACGCTAACTGACAATTTGATTCCTGTTCAGACGTATAACTTAAAGAAGGGTAAAGAAGGGATCACCCTCAATGAACTCCTTTGTTGACAGTATAAACGTTCGTTTTATTAAACTCTTTACTGAAGAAATCTTTTCTCTGTGTGAAGAAAAACAGTCAAAGCGTGTGTACAAGCCCGAAAAAGTTGCCTTGCGGTGAATGCTTGTAAGGAGTTGACCATTGCTTTTATGGACATCCAAAAACGCTAACTGACAATTTGATTCATGTTCAAGACTTTCGGACCAGCTAAGTGCCCTGCGTTTATCAAACTTCCATGGATGGGTAAGGCTTCTGATGATATTGAAAGGGAAACTAAAAATATTATTGATAATTTGTTTTTTGCGAGCAATGTTATCTTTATATTTTTGAAAAGAACTATTCTACCGCCCACCCAAAAAATCTCTAAAAAACTTTTAAGCAATTTCATTTATGAATATAAATGTGAGTGTGATGATCGCTATGTAGGTAGAACGTCTCAAAGGTTGGGTGATAGGATTAAATAGCATGTACCAACTTTAATCAGAAATGTAACGGTCCCCTCAAGACAACAACCAAAACGTGATTGTAAGAAAGTAATTTAGTGTCATGGGACTCCGCAATAGGTAAACATCACTTGAATAACTCGCATTGTGCTGATTGTTATTCACACATGACAATTTTCGAATCATCAGAAAATGCCGTTGATTCTTTCAGTTACGCGTTATGGAGGCTGTTTTAATTAAGCTAAGCAATCCCGTCCTCTGCCGACAAAAAGATTATGTTTTTAATTTATCTTTGTTTTGAGCGTCATATCCCCTTTTTGGAGATGACGTACACTCTTTCTTGGTATTAAAAGTATCGGTAATTTGTAAATTTTCATTTAGTAGACGTTGACACCTGAGGATTAGTCTAAGGAAATGCATCGCGTCACTCAATTTAGAACTATTGGGTTAGTGCTCTTTATTAAAACAGTTCTTTTCAGAACAATCAGCTTATTGTATTGGGATATTTATATATACATGCAACCCTCAATAATTTGGATTTGAGATTTCTATAGATTGCAATATCTATATGCTTTCTTTTTTTTTATCAGTTGTCAAATCTGTTAGACTTCGGGGACCAAAAAGGTCTAGTGCCATAGGTCATGTGGAAGTATTTTACAATGAAGAATGGAGAACAGTATGTGATAATAGCTAGGATTTAAAAGATGCTAAAGTTGTTTGTCGACAACTTTGTTTTGTCGACAACGGTTTTGCTTAAGTTGCTCCTACAGCCTTTTTAACTTCTAGCTAATTTCTTTTCAGTAAGGTATTTTACAAATTTCTTGCTGTTGTAGTAATTTTATATCTCGGTCTTTTTTGATACGTCTTGCTTCTTGTTCTTTATTCTTTTCTTCTCTATAATTTTTCTCTTGTTTCTAGCTGGAAATGTAGATAATCGATTCATGATACTTAGTAATGGCATGTATTTCTATGTTTCATCTTTCTTCCATTTTCAGATTGACCACGGTGTTATTTTATTTTATTTTCTCAATATTGACTCCATGCAATTAAATTCATGTTGCTAGATCGCTTTAGTTCTCTTTGTTTACGGTCTCTATTTCCTCAAATCAATGTTTGCAATCAGTTCTGCTGTTTTCTCTTATTTGCATTTTAATTGTTCAATCTTTCTTCAGCTAGTTTTGACATAAATTTGTTGCTCACTAGTATTGATGATTGGTAGATTTTTTAATTCAAAGCGCTCTTTAGTAAATTCAATAACGCTTCAATAAAAAAAAATGTGGGAAATTAAAGTTAGCTACATTTCATATATTATGCTCCACTAACAAGGTCTTAATACTTCCCATATATTAAGTGTTGTTTAAAGTCGTCCCACATTTGACTGATGCTTATCTAACGCTTCTTTACATTTATTTTTCAGCTTTTTCATCATGTAAAGAAGCACTAAAAGATAACAGGTATAGTATGCCTAACTTATAATTTATTAGGAATTCGTGTTCATTATATGGTTAAAAAAATTATGTGTACCTTGTTATTATTTCACGCTCATTGAACTCATTTCCACGCTCACGCTTATTTTGTCGCGTTTGGTAAACATAAGACAAAAAAACATAGTTAGCCTTTGTGTAACTAGCTTTAGACAAATGACTCGACAGACATTGATTTTATTGGTTTTCATTTTTTCATTACAGCAAATAATCATTTAACTAAAAACATAATGAACTATTGCAATAGTCTTAATCTCGGGCGGATCTTGAGTAAATAAAAAAAGTCACGCTACTGATGTTTACAGATCAAAAATTAGTCATCAAATTTAATGCTTACAATTGTATTTTGTCATTAGACTAAATCACCAAGGAGTTACGTGAGATATGCTTGTGCAAATCTAGTGTTTAGTTTCCCACTCTAGTTCGTTAGTGACGATACCAAAATCTTATAAATGGCGAGAATATATGATATGGAAGAAATTTTACTGTATGATCTCAAAGAATT